CGGCGACGCCTCTTCTGAAGCCGTCCCGGTCTCGTCTGGCAACTAATTCATAATTCGTCAACTTGGGATTCAAATGCCCCTGATCAAGCCACGTTTCATTGAGGAAGGCGAAGGAAGGAGGGGGGGGAACAATATATTACGTGCTTCTAAATCTGCTGCATAAGATTGAAAACCTCGGATGTTCACATGCAATTTGGTGAGATGATATACAACACAAGACGAGCCGGAATTGGGTTCACACAACTCTTCGTCTTGAGGCGAATTTGAAAATACGTTACTGTCAGTGAAAAATTCTGTCAACCGTGTTTGCCGCAGACTGGAATGGGGGCGAGAAGAAGCAAGAACGGAGGATGGAAGAAGAGGAGGGCGAGAGGGAGCATGAAGAGCCCGCTTTTGAAGCGCTGCAGAAAAGACTCGCGGGGACGAGGCCCTCTGCGACGAAGAGGCCCGACAGTGCCCGGAGGCCGCCCACTAACGGTTAAGCCGTGGGCGGAACACGAAACGTGTGTAGCGTTATTGTGTAGGGCGACCCCCCCAGCTCCCTAGGGGGGGCGAAGGTGAGGGAAGTTGCCCTTGAAGGTGCCCTCCAGGTCACCCGGGCTTTGCTTGGACGCAGTCGCGTCGCCGATCGGGGCCAGCCTCGTCTGGAAGTCGACCTGGGCATTCTCGCCGCCTGGCGCCTTCTCAATAGCCTCCGTGGCCGTGCGAAGAGCCAAATTCTTCGTCAAGTTGATGTGTGTGGTGGCAGCCTTGATGGCGATCGCCTTACCGGAGGGCGTCGTCATGCTCTCGGTCCTTGCTTCATCAAGGAGCGCTGAAGCCTTTTCCGGAGTTCGGAACTCCAAGTAGGACGCGCGGGTGATCTTGCGACTATTCCGGGGTCCACTGAAAGAATGACCGGGCTGACCCTGGAAATCTACGCCCGAGGTGCTGGCGAAGGCGTGAGTGTCTGCCTCCCTGGAGGCTGGTATCCATCACCTCGAAGCCTATGAACACCACCCGGCGATGCGCAACATCGACCTTATTCATCAAACTGAGGTACCTCTGGTCGCAACCGCCCATCTCAGGCCGCTGAACTGTGTCGGTGAGGTCGCGCATCTCGTCTCTCAGCGGTTCGACGGCAACCGAAATGGCCTCCTGTGTTTCGCGTTTGATGGTGCCGTGCAGGGCTGTCAAACCGTTCGGTGTGGCCATCTGGCTGTTCATGATCTGTAGCGCGCTGTAAATGGCCTTCTCCCCAGGAGAACTCTCGTCTGGCATCGTCGGCAAGGCCGGCGCTGGCGAGGGGGCGAAACCCGCGCTCGCCACGCTCGCCGCCGCATGCGCCAGGGGGGCCCCGCCCTCACCTGTGCGTGCGCCGCTCGCACCGCCTGAAGCGGGAGCGGGAGCACTCGCCGAAGCGGTGCTCAGCGGGGGGTCCGGTGGAGCAGCACTTAAGAGCGTGCTCGGCGGGGCCCCGATGGTCGCAGCGCCAGGAAAGGCGGGGGCAGGAGCGAATGGGCCGGCCAAAGGGCTTGCCGATTCGTCCATGAGGGTCTCGATTTCGGCTTTCTTCTTTGACTCCGGCGACAAAGCTTGCAAGACAGCGGATCGGCGCGCCGACTGTCTAACCGAAGTTTGCCTGTCTTGAGATTTCGTGAAAGCTGGCTTCTGAGCGCCAGACACCAAGCCCGACGTCGCAAGCGAGCTCGAAAGATGTGACGCGAGAGAAAAATATGTGGTGATTGACCGCCCCAGCGACAAGCTCAATACCTGACCGCCCCATCGACAGGCTCAAGTTGGATAGCTCGTGCCGCGACAGCTTGAGCCACTTGAGCCAAAATGGCTACGGTTTACCGTTGGGTCCAGATTCTAATCGCCTTGTTTCGAAGTCTTTTGACGGGGTCGTTCTGATTTTAGGTCCAGTGATCTTCGCTTGCGCGGGCGCGCCGAGTTTTGTTTCAGATTTTTTCGCTTTTTTGTCAGAGCCGTGGACTGAAAAGAGTGGTCTGCCGATTCCCAGTTTTCGTTGTCTGTAGAATTTGCCAGTTGAATTTTAGTTTGTTTTTGGTTTTTGCGAGGTGCGCAGAAAAAAGTCAACATCCATTTTTTATGATTCATGGCGGTGAGTTATTTTCCAGGTGTGTGTTTTGTATTTTGCTTACTTTCTGTTACAGAACCAATTTTTGATGAAATGCATTATATATACATATATATATAGTAACACTAATGTATGTATGTATGTATATATGTATGTATGTATGTTTGTATATATATATATATATATATATATTATCATTCACCATATATTTATAAAAACCTTACTATTTCTTCCCTTCTCTTGTTTTTTTTTTTCCCTTTCTTCTTCTTCTTCTTCCTCTCTCCTCCTTCCCACCGCCGAGTTAGCTAGGATATTAATGGTGTTGCCATGAGATGCATTATGTTTATATCTTAGGTTTTGAACAGAAGCGTTTTCGAAATCGAATGGGGCCGTGCCAACGCTGTTTTCATTGAAGTTTCGAAGGGGAGCCGGCGCGCCATTTCACGTAGCCGCCCGTTGTGATGACAATTTTAAACTTCTCGGCGGTTTTTGATTGCAAGCTTGTCATGTCACGCGCGGTATCTGAGTGTGTACACGAACGCGCTGGGCGATTTCAGGCCTTGCTTCGTTCGCGACGTTACCACGCTGTCGCCGAGCCTGTTGTCTCATCTAAAGTACACATTCCTTCGTTCATAGAATATCGCGCGCCAGCTTTCTCACGCGCTCCGAATCTTGTGTCTGAGTGCGAAATTTTGCACAACTTTAATCTTGCCCCCTTTACTGCCCGTAGAGATATAACCATGTTGGGCCTTATTCACCGCGCAGTACTCGGTTTCAGCCCTCCGTGCTTCGGAGCTTTTTTCTCCGTTGTGGGCGTGGAACTTACCCCGAGCGTTTTCCCTTCACTTCTGTGAATGATATCTTTCACCTGTGCCACTCCGTACTAATGCACCAAAGTCAGCCTTGCAGTAAAAGCGCGTTTGCATTTGCTAGCATGGTAGTCATTGTATTTTCATTCAGGGTAGTCAATTCCCCATTGTGGCTTGCAGTTGTGGACCTGGGGTGCATTTTCTGGAATGTCGATTTTCGGAACCCTTTTAGAGATGCTTTCCAGAAGGTTTTCCGAATCTGCTAACGCAAACAGAAAGATTTTCAGAACTGGAGAAAAGGAGCAACGCATATTGAAAATGGAAAGTTCCAGAGATGCAAACGTGCAATTGATTGGAACATTTATCATTTGTTGTGGGTTAAACAGTATGTATGCTCGCAGCAGTCGTGTTTTTCTTGTGGTCTTCAGTTTGTTTGGAACATCGCTTATTCAGGTTTCTTCTTGATATCATTTTCGTATCTGTTCATTTTCGATGCATTTTTTGGGGTTATTTTAAAAAGTAACAGTGTTTCATTTTTTAAATAGGTATGTGTTTCTATGTGTTCATGTTAATACATCAAATTATCAGGTATTCGACATAGTGCAGGTATTAAGTTTGTGTTTTGTTTTTTTGGTTATATATATATATATATATATATATATGTTTTTTTAGATGTGCAGACAAACATGTGAGCCATAACTCAGAGATTAATTGTTTTCCTTGGATTTTCCAGAAGCCTGCTATTTGAAAATATTCCCGAAAGGTTTCCATGATTTGAACGTCCGTATGGTGTGTGTCCATACGGATGTTATTATTCGTCATATATACGACATATCGACGATGTCTTTGTTTGGAACTCAGAAGATCGTTTGCAGTGTTTGGTTACTGTTTTATTTTATTCTATTACCCGTTTTATGTATTCTTGTGTCTGCGATTGTGAGTCCTGTGCGTTTTTCTTCGTGAGATGTGGCCGTTTTCTGCGCATTCGTCGTCGAGGCAGCGTTTAGACAAGCCGTTTTAGGTTAATTGTAAAACCGGCATTTTCGTAAAGTCTTCGACGTGCTTTGCGCCGGGAGTTTTACAGGGGCCTTTCTGATTTGCAGAGTGGATTAAAGACGGGGTGAATATTTAGCGAGGAGTTTTGGAATCGCAGCGAAATTCGCAAACACGAAGCTTAACCAGCAGCGACACCAGGCAGTCAGGAACGCGTTCGGCGGATGGAAAACCGCTGCCCCCGGCGAAACCATCGTGTGAGATTCGCATGTAAAATGGTGAGGTGGTCAGAACCAAAGGACGGTTGAAGCTTGGATTCGCGCAGGCAGCCGCCCTGAGGCGCTGAAACTGAAGGGAAAGGCTCAGCGACGCGATGAAAATAACTCGAAATGAGTTTCTGAGAGAAATCAATACGAGACACAGGGGTAGGAGGCACAGAGGAGAGGCAAGCCTAAGAAGGGAAGTACGCTGCATTTCAACGCCGCCTCCACCAACTGGAACAAGCAGAGTGGACTGGGGAAAAAGAAAATCAGGTAGGTTCGATCGGCGCGAGATCGACTCCGTCGATCGCGGATCTCGCCGCCGAAGTCTGCGAACTGCTGGGGGCCGCAGACTAACTCCGTTGGGCGCTGCAGCTTTGTGGCGAGATCGGCTCGCGAACGGTGGCGGAGTGTTAGTTTTTTGTCCAGACCATCTTCCTCTTGTCTCACCTCTCCCCGTGTGCAGAGCAGCCGAAATTTGGTGTTGCTCGGTGCCGATTGGGCCTTGCATTCGCCTCTCGCGATTGGCATGGTTGTCATGGGAGTCCCAAACATTCATCGCAAACGCTGGCTGAGATTTCCGAGGATGGTCAGTCCCGAAGGTCCAGCGCTCCACAGTTGGTGCAATCTGCATGGATTTCCCGAGCACGTGGGCGCGCCTACGCGCGACGGGAATTTTTTAGTCTTAGTTCTTATGGATATGCCGGACGAGGTGTCCACAGCTTGTCTCCTTAAATTGGCCGACCATGATTTGGTGATGTCTCCCCTCTCTGTTCCTCCCTTGTCCCTCTCTCCTGCGAGACGCGAGTGTTGGATTTATTCTCAGGCGAATGGGAGAGCGCAAAAAATCGGTTTCGGGCGGTAGACTGGCGATCGATTTGTGGCACTGATGTTGGCGCTGCCGCCGCTGCAGCCGCTGACTGCGCACTCGACGGAATGCGGTCTGTAATCCCTTGGCGTGTAGTGGCCAGTCCGAATTCGCAACCGTGGATCACGGAGGAGTATCTCCACTTCGTTCGCTATAAACAGACGTGTACGAACACTTGCAATTTCCCCATCGCCGTCCGTGCATGCAGCGATCATTTACTTAAGGCTTTCCGGGACTAAGTCGCCAGAACACGCGAAAAACTAAGGTCGGTACGTCCAGGCTCCAAGGGGTGGTGGCACTTGCCTCGGGAGTGGATGTCGAGAGCAACCAAGCCGTCTTCTCCCCCTCCCTGGGCTCCCGGCGGAGACTGGATTGCGCAGCCGAGTTTGAAAGTTGATCTGTTTGCAAGCAGTTTTGAAGAAAAATGGCAGATTCCTATTCTAGTTGATAATTACTCTCCTGTCCCCCCTCCCCCCGCTCCCCCCTTCTCTCCCCCCCCCCTCCGTCTCCGAAGTGCTAGCCGAATCTTAAGTGATCTCCGCGTCGACGGCGGCGCAGGCCCGGATCTCATTCCGACCCGGGTGCTCCTAGCGTGCGCTCGAGAGTTGGCACTGCTGTTGATGCCCTTGTGTAGAATGATTTTAATGTTTGGCAGATGGCCGGAATCGTGGAAGAAGCATTGGGCCTGCCTTATTCACAGCAAATCTCGCGGCATAACTCGCTGCTCAGTTATCGAAGGTGGTTGAGCGACTCTTTATTTCTTTATTTGTGCCCCGGCTGTGCCGCGAATTGAAGTTGGGAGAGCATCAGTTCGGTTGTTTTCCCGGCCGCGGCGCTCGCAACGCATTGCTGTCCTTAATGATGTTTTGGCTGCTCGCCTTCACCCAGAGAGAACGGGTTGCAGTGTATTGCTCGGACGTTTCTGGTGTCTGGGGCTTTTGACAGAGTGTCCGCGACCCGCATTTGCGCCGAACTCGCGGCGGTTGGTCTGCCAGCCTCTTTGCTCGCTGTCCTGCAGTATTGGCTCTCCGCTAGGTCGGCCCGTGTAGTAGATGGACCTGTGTCTCGAACTGTTCAAATGGTTGACATGATTTATCAGGGTACAGTTTCCGGACCCCCTCTCTGGAACGTATTTTACGCTGACGCTCAACATTCAATTCGCCAGGGCGGGTTCCGAGAAATCGTTTTGCAGACGACTTAAACGCATTTCGTGCTCTCGATGCTTATTTGTCAGACGAAGATGCTGTCACTCTGATGTCTGCGTGCCAACGGGAACTTCACGCTTGGGGCGCGGCCAAT